AGGTCCATTTCATAGAATTCAGTTATTTTTCTAATTTATAATAAAACCTCCTAATGTTACTTTCGTCTCCACTTATTAGAGTATTAGAAATAATTCTCTACACATCGTAACTCAACTGCATTCGAATTAGATAGTTTGCATGATGTACTTTATTGTTTGCTGTTGAATGATGGTTCGGAGATAAGATTATTTACTTACTGTCTCTTATGGTGAGTTATCGTGAGAGATGCTAAAAAGTTAAAGCAGAAAACGTGGAAGTCGTTAGGACCATGAAGATCGCTTATTACAGTATTAGAAATAATTGTCTATATATGTTAAAACGTGAAATTTGAGGCACTAATACATTTTTGTATAAAGAAATGCATTTCTGTAAAATCTCGCCAGGGAGGGCTCAAAGATGTTTAAAATGCGCTTTAAAATTGTTTTGACAAAGGCAATAGGGGATTTTGTACAGAATTTAATTCTTTATACACTGATATACGTTTTGAAATTTTTTTAAAAAGCTAAATAGGTCAGAAAATTGAACAAAAACTTCTAAGTTTTAAATTTAAATTTTCGATTTAAAAGTTTGAGTTTCATTCGATTTGAAGTTAATATTCATAATCAGCGTAAAAGGTTGCATCTAGCAACGTGCTTTTAAGACCGGTTGGAGAGAAAAAATATTGTTCAACTCACCGCCGCTGTGGGTGACAGTTGATCTGAGTAAAAGCTGAGTAAAATTAAATATCATTTTGAGTTGAATCGAATGTATTTTAACTAAAGATGTTTACATAGTCAGGAAACAGTAAACAAGCAAAGAAAGAAAATTTCGCTTACATAAGAGACACTGTTATCGATAAAAAGAGAGAAAAAGAAAAGATGAAATGAATACAGTGAAAGAAAAAGAGAAAGAACAATATGCATGACGAAAACGAGAATGAAAAATGAGGATATATTTTCAAACTCGCTTTCTGAAACCACTCACTGTCGCTCTTGTGCAAAAATTTTGCGAAGTTTAAATGCACAAACCGATTGTAGTTCTCATTTCGTGACCGTTTTGTCCCTCAAATTTATTTCGAGGTGCATACTCTAGCGAATATTCCAAGTTTCACATAAGAAAATTCACGTATATCTTTTCCCAATCCAAGAGTTACCTTCAAAACTACTATCGGCACTAAAATAAAAGACCGGCGATTATTTTGTGAATACAAAAGGAATAAAAGACAGAGAGTTGCGATTTTCATTGTTTGCTGACCAGAATCTAAAGCTATGTTTCTATAAGCAAAAACGACTCTGGGAAATATGCCAAAGACCGGTTTTCCAGGACATCTATGGAAAACCAGTCAATTCTCTGAAAACTGACATATATATATGTTTTTTTTTGCATAGATATATAGATCAATGACTGCGATTAGTGTCATTTGTTCAAAGAGAGCTCGCGATATTTTTGTGTCACTTATCGAGGTGCAATATTGCCTAATCTTTTACGTAAAACAAGGTTTATGAAAAGGTTTTAGTTATTCTTCTATGTGAACTTTTCCAACGGAGTCATACTTATCAGAATACAAAGAGATAAAACGCTGAAGCATTGACTTTCTTACATAGATCAAAAGTGTAAAACAGGAGAACGTCTGAATATTCGATCCCTTCCACACCTTATCTGTGTGACAGGATTTTTTTCAAAAAGAACGTTTTTATTCGGAAGCATAACTCCATATATAAACTGTAAAAAATTATTTAATAGATGATAAAAACCATTTGTTGCAATTGGATGCATCCACACAGCTTCTCTACGTTCATGCATTTAGGATTCTTAGGCGATATTTTTGTGTCTCTCATCGAGGTGCAATATCGCCTAATCTTTTTCGTAAAACAAGGTTTTTTGAAAAGGTTTTAGTTATTCTTCTATGTGAACTTTTCCAACAGAGTCATACTTATCAGAATACAAAGAGATAAAACGCTAAAGCATTGACTTTGTTACATAGATCAGAGGTGTAAAACAGGAGAACGTCTGAATATTCGATCCCTTCCACACCTTATCTGTATGACAGAATTTTTTTCAAAAAGAACGTTTTTATTCGGAAGCATAACTCCATATATAAACTGTAAAAAATTATTTAATAGAGGATAAAAACTATTTGTTGCAATTGGATGCATCCACACAGCTTCTCTACGTTCATCCATCGACCTTGAATCGCCATGCGCTCAGTTTATAGTCCGTATTGAGTTGTATACGAATCCATGTTTGTTTCCTCTACAGGCATGGTGGTGGCATAATTCTCAAAAAATTCTTTTATCTGCTCTCTGACAAAGAAACTATAGTTTCTGTTGTGAAAGTAGTGAACATCGTGTACTTTGAATAACTAATTGGAAGTTATGACTTGGATTACTCGACATCGTGACACATTTCGGTTACACGATGACCTTAGTTCACTTGTTGAAGGTATACGACTTTCAAGTGTACTTTTTGAGGTGAGTTCTTTAAAAATCAAATTTTGTTTTCGAATCTGTTTGTTCCCTAGAAGAAAACTGTGCTGTTTCTCGGACACCTGTTGTCTGTTTACCATGTATGTTTCCTAGAATACAAAATTATATCGTTGCTTAGGTCGGCACTAACAAGAAAAATTTTACTTCCCCTGTCGTTACGGTGTGTTTTGCACAAGTGTGGTGACGAATCAGTTCTTTTCAGAACCGACTGCTTTCACCGCTGCATTCGTTTTGATTGATAAAGATAATTCTGGCTGACTATCCATGATGATAATTGCTGATTACGTCAGACCAGCAGCGGCGGATAATGTTTTTTCTTGCGATTTTGGTGATGTTATCATTACGCTTTCTAGTGCAAGTGTTGATTTTGCAGCCGATGTAGACGGTTGGGCAACAACTTTTAAAGTTACGGTTTCTCTCAGTTACCGTTTTTCAGTTAAAAACTGTAACTATTGCATGCTTAATGCCAAAGATTACAAGTTTATTATTTTCGCTACAATTTATGTAAATTAAAACTTTTATGTAGAATTTCTAGGATAAAATACCTATTCAACCTAATACTTATTTTCTGGTTTCATTATTTGCGTTTGAAGATTAGAATGACTTTTATGGTTACATAATCATACCCGCATCTGCATTTTTTTCCCACTGTTCAATTTTATCAGTATACTCTAGCAGAAAGAGTAAAATGTGTGCTATTCTTATTATTTTATACTTTAATGATTATTGTATAATCAGTTGAGAACAATGAATTTCGCAGTTTTATTTGCATGTTTAATTGTCGGATTGTTTGCTGCCGAATGTCCAAAATTTACAACACAAAACCCGTTTGATGCTGCACAGGTAGTATATTTTCCTATGTTTTATAAGGACTTGCCAAACCACTGACTAGAATTTGAATTCAGCAGACAAAAGAAATTCGTCAGAGGGATGCGGCATGAGCTCGCCGCATTCCAAATCCCAAACACGTCTATTCCACGCTTCAAAAGTTTGTTCAGAACCTTAACACCTAGCGAATAACCCTGAAATTCAAATATGAAATCTGATTTTTGGAGAAGTTGACCGATCAGCGAGAGCCCATCGTACTTTGGAAGAGTTATGGCTATCTAGTATCATAGACAGACACAGGTAAATTCATTTTTAATTTAAGTATGGAGGTTTTTGGTATGAATTTGAAAGATCTAATATCATATTTGAAATTGGTTCGAAATGCGAAAATGCAACCTATAATCTAAATCCAAATGGAACAGTTGGACTTTTGAATCAGGCAATTAATATCTGGAATCAGTATGTCTCATACACTGGTATAGCTACTGTTAAAGATCCAAAAGAACCGGCAGCATTTATAGTGGAATTTACGACAGGTATTAATTACTTTTCTTCTTGCCTGTTTGAAGCTGTTAGTAGCCATTCCACTTTTCATTCGCAGGTCAAAAAGGTGACTATAATGTAATAACAACAAATTATAAAGATTATAGTTTAGTTTATGCATGTGAAGAAGTTTTTGGAATTAAAGCTGATTTTATTTGGATTTTATCGTAAGTTAACTTTGTGAACGTCTCTACTATGCTCTCTCATGTAATATCATTACCAGCAGTCATCAGTTACTTCCTCCGACACTGGAATAACTGAGTCATTACTCAACTCTTCCACAAAGAAACTAAGTATAACGACAGCGAACTTAAATTTCGTACTTATTTATTCAATTACTCGCTTTATTCGTTATCAATCGACGTTTCCTGAAATATCATTGCACTTATAAGATGAATCGTACATAGAAATGTTACATAAATCGAGAGATTTGAAGTTGTGATGATTCTTATATCATGCCGAATACAAGGAGAGCGAGAGAATTTCGAAACTTCGACAAGAACGTACGGTGAAAGTACTCGATAAAAAATGAAAAAATGAAAAACTAAAACAAATAGAATAAAAGGATGAGAAAAGGAGGAAGATACAGAAATAAGTTATAAATTAATAAGCTGTCTATCTGGATCTTAAACTAAAATTTTTGAAATTCCTTTAGGAAAAATAGAGAAAGGAACAGATCGTATTGTATTATTTCCGACCGATTTGCGGCCAAAACTTGTCAGAAAGTCTTTTTTTAATAACCGATATGGATGCAGATCTTTAAGTGAAATTTCAAACTACAGCTTATTTTCATCTGTCATCGGAGTAGTAGGTTCTTGTCGTTCTCTCGCACTCCTTGTTTTCAACATGAAATACGAATCATCACAACTTCAAATCTCTCAGTTTATATAACATTTCTATGTACAATTTAACTTGAAAACGACAATAGTATTTCAGGAAACATCAATTGATGATTAATAAATCGAGATAAGTACGAAATTCAAATCTGCTGTCGTTACATTTAATTTCTTACTTCGATTTCTGTCCTTGAATCAATTCAATGTTTATAACATAAGTTTTTGTATTTGTAGACGTAAAAAAACATTACCAGATTCGATTGTAAATGAATTAAAAACAATATTAAAAAATTTTGGAATTGATATCAGTTCGTTACGACCAACTGTTCAAGACTGTTAAGAAAATAAGATCATTGCCATTTTTGTAATTTTTATTCAAATAAAGTGCACTAACCGCTTTTCTGTTCTTTCAAATGCCAAAAGGGTTCATGAGCTTTCTTCCAAAGGTCGAGTGACTTGCACACCAATGTTACTTACAAATGTTTAGAAAGTTACTAACAAACACGTATTCTGAATTATTCTACTCTTCTTTTTTCCTACATTTCTCAGCATTTTAGTTTTCAGCGTCGATTACGCTTTAAAGCATAATCGGCTGAGATTTCTAGCAAACATGTTTCGAAGCAGCAAAATCTACCCTGTGTGATACATATTCCTGTGTTTTTTAATAGACTACCTTTAGCATGTTTGACACAAATCGATCAAATAGGTCAAGTACATGAGCTGATTCCAAGATCGAATTTACTGATGCCGGTCAGCGAATTCTGTTCTCAGTACATGTCTGAAGGATACACCGACATTTCCGCGAAAGACATGAAGCCTAAGTGAAGTTATGGGGTGAACAGTCAGTGTGTGATACAGTTACAGATATACAGTTTCGCATCATGAAAATACCCAAAGAAAGTACCTGCACCGAAAATATCCAAACGTGTACGATGAAAAATTCATGGAAGAGTCGGGGTCCTGTTCTCAGTAATGTCATGTTAAGGACTGAAACATTGACTTGGTATTGTGGAGATAGAGCAAATAAACTGAGGAAGATCTTGATAATTGTTCAGAGACGGAAAGAATCAATTTCAATAGAATGCCCAATGAAAACTTTTGTTTCAAGAAATTTTTCGTTTCTTGCGTTATCTAACTCTCCGTATCACCATAATACCTAATGTTTTGCACTGCGTTACATTCTCTTACTTATGGCATTTAGATAGAAAAGAGTAACCAGTACTTCTGACAGGGACCGTCAGAAGTAAAAAAGTTTTCAAAGACGGTCGATATTGCCCTAACTAAAAATTCCAATGAATACAGACAGACCTTTATCGAAGATTCTTTGAAGTTTTTAAGAAAGTTTTCTGAAAGCTTTGAACAACTGATTTTTTCGAAACTCATATCATTTTCCCATGAAATTTTTGCACCACTTTGTTTCAGAATTTTTGCTAAACTTTGGGAAGTACCCCTTGCCAAAAATAGAAAATTTTCTAGGTTATCGAGTGTGTCGGATACGAAAAGGTACTTCTCGGCAACTCAAAACCAAATTATTTTTCTTGTTCTGGTGATAGGGTATACTTTTATCTTATCTTATCTTCCAACTTGCGGCAGAGGGTAGGCGCTTATTAATGATATATTGTGCACCATGAAAGATGTTTACTTGGTTTGTTTCCCGTCGTGTATTGTACTTGCTATTCGATCACTGTATTGTAATCAGTACACAGCAGGCATTTTTTCATAGTGCAGGCGGACATCTGTTTTTTTCAGTTAAAAAATGATTATTTTCGCATAATATAGTCCTATTATGTGTCAGATATTAATAGAAGTAAAAGAAGTCGGATTCGAAAAAAATTTCTATCGATTCATTGGAACTACAAAATTGAGTTTTTAAGAGGACGTTGAAATATACGTCGTTTTTCCTTCCCAAACTTTTTCTAAGTAAGAGATCATGTGGAACAAAACTTTTTGCATCATATTAACGTGTTGAACAAAGCATATTTGACGCCAGAAAAAGCGTAGCAACAGGAGCGATGTGAATCATTTTATTTTATTTTAAATTCCGACGTTTCGATTTATCTAAAAATCATTTTCAAGGATATAAAAATACAAGGTCTAGAAAGAGTGAGATAAATTATATATATACATGTTACGCAGTTCGTGTACTTTCTAACCTATTCAAGAACTAGAATAAGCTTAAGGATAAAAAAGGGAAAAGAGAAAGTCTGCAACTATTAAAACATTCGTTTGCTGACGACGAGCGTAGGAGACGTCAGTTTCTTGTTCACATAAGAGCTGAGAAGAAGCTAACTGAATAAAGCCAAGAGAAAATGAGAGGAAACGATGACGTTATAAATGAACTTGTCAAAATTAGGATGATAAGAGAGCTAAATTGTCTTTAGAAAAGCATGAAAGTGAAACAGGACACAAAATCGATTAAAGAAATTTTGAAGTTATTGGTGATGATAATCATTCGTACTATTTACTCACAAAGGAAAGCTTGATTAAAAAATTAGAACCTAAATTAAATTGTACAACTCACTCGGTTTCGATGATCTTTCTGGCACGTATAATTCATAAAAAGAGAAGAGATAAAATAAGTAAATATGCTGATCAAGATGAGATAGACTATACACTAGAGATTTGCACGGGCAAGATTTTTTTGCCCGTGCCCGTAACTTCGTACCATGTTGTTGCTCAAAAAATTTAAAATTTCTTTTTGAGAAGTCAGTGTCCGTCGAAGGGAAGTAGTTGCTCGTCAGTGTGTCTTTCAAGTCTGTGCGTGCTTGTCCGTACCCGCGGGCAGTATGGGCACGCCCGTGGCCACGAGAATTCTCGTGCACGTGCAGATCTCTACTATACACTCATATGTAACAACGTCAATCCTTTTCTCGTTTTCCTTTCTTATTGTTTAGCTTATTCTAGTTCTTGAATAGGGTAGAAAGTAGAAAGAGAAAGATAGTAAGAAAAGAGTAGAAAGTACAATGACTGCGCAACATGCATATATATAATTTATCTCACTCTTTTGAGACCTTGTAGTTTTATATCCTTGAAAATGACTTTTAAATAAATCGAAACGTCGGAATTTAAAATAAAATAAAATGATCCACACCACTGCTATTGCTATGCTTTTTCTATTGAACATTCTACCTATTAGAAATAATAATATTTGACGCTATTCAAATCAAAAGAGAACACTTTCGATTTTTTGCTAAATGTCCGCCTGTATATCCGCTATGTGCAGTAGCTATGTATTGCTTAAGTATAACGCACCCATAAGGTTGGGGAGTGTCGCCTTTCCCCATACCCCCAGTGACTTCCTTCCTTTATTTAATTCTTTATTTGCTCATAAACAACAACAACAACAACAACAACTTTTGTATCATCATTTTGCTTGTCTGGAACAACATACCTTTCTGCTTTTTGTTTTGTAAAAGCGCATCTATCATAGCAACTGACATGCTAATATCATGGTGCGTAGTGTCGTTAGATGAATAGGGACGAAAACCTTTAAATGGCTTTTAGCTTTTAAACTTTTACTCTATTTCTTTCGCAAGGACGAAAACTTTTAGAATGGCACACAAAATGCTTACAAAATCGACTAAAACCAAAGACGAACTCCATTCAACCGCAGTACGACGTATATATATACATATGGATGCGGAAAAAAAGACGAGTCAGATATCATCTACGCCCATCCAACGTATAGACATGAGGAAAACAAAAGAAAAAACCGTCGTGTCGGATTTCTCCAGGATGTCAATGAAGGGTTCAGTTATGGGATCAGGTGATGATTATGAGTATTATGTTTTGAAGGTCAAAACTTTTGAAATGTTGCAGAGTTAAGTTTTTTCCGATATTAAGAATCTTTTGTCTTAAAGAAGTGAATTTAGGAAAAAGTAAAAATTTCCAATGTTTCCGTTATTATAGAAGACACACATTTTTTAAAAGTTACAGTTTGTATAAATGTTTACTCTCGTTACAACGAAGAAATTCAATGGCAGAACTAAGGGAAGGATAATTGTGCCGTGACTCAATGGATTTTAAAGAAAAAACTTGTGATTTTCTCAATAAAAAATGAAAATGTTTTTTGACTCTCTTTTCTTTTCTTCAAAATCACAGCATTGTCAATCTTTTTTCTCGAACTAATGTATGTTAGTTCAATGGTTGAAAAATTCTTGTTTCGTCATTGAAGAAATGTGTATCGTTCGTTAGTGTAGTATGATACATAAAATATTTATTTTATTTATTGCTTTTGATCGACTAAATATATTTGTGAATATGCCACAACAACTAATGTACCACAATTATCATTAATCATTGTTATATGGTGCAATTTTTCATTAAATACTTCGGTTTTCACACATTTATCAAATGTTATTTCTAATAATTGATTACTCTTCGTTTTTGTAATTAACCACTCATTATTTGGAAGAGTAGATAAGCGATGATATGATCCATGGGTCATTGATAGTTCAACAGTAAATACTATATCCATTGACAAATAATTACATATTTAAAAATGTAAATTGAAATTATCATTTTGCATAATCGTTATACCCGATTGTTGATTCTGATAACGTATAGAATCGATACAATTATCATCGATTGTCCACCGATTAATTAACTTTAATGACATGAGATCATATTGAGATAAAATAGATGACGTCTGAGCGTATGCTGAAGTAAATATAAACTTGTCTATATTTGTAAATGATCCATATTTTGTCTTTCATAGTTCAGGCAGTTTCAAACAAAGTTTTGGATATTTACTGTTCGAATAGTATTTGTGAACATATTTTTCTGTTAAAACAAGTATAATTATTTTGCCCAAAGTCTTTGGCCAAAAAATAAATGGGTATTACACAAAGTGTACCAGGACATTCACGACAGCAACATGTGGAACTTGATTTATCGTCATTTGAAGTTACGTGACTACGATCAGTTGTTGGCTGTATTAATGTTAGTGATTGTCGTGGATTATCAGTACTCATTGTTGATAGTTGTTCGTATTTAATACACAACTTCACGTTATATTCTACAAATACAAACACAAAAATAAAGGAAATGATGTTTAGATATTGTATTGAAGTAAGTAGGCATTAAATTTTGCTACCTTTTGTTTACCCGTCCCATTTTGCGCACTGTCCTCAAAACGAAGTAAGAAATTCACTCCTTTTTCTAAAGAATAACCACAATAAACCAATGTGAACCGAGTGCAAAGATTTGCAATAAAGGATCGCTTACAATCTTGGTTTCGAAGTAGCCTTACTCTGATGAAACCGGTAAAACACAAATATCTTGCTTTTATGAAGTCATGCACTCGGGATAAAACATGCGTTGACTGACGTTCTAGCTGAGATTATAGGGCGGATTTTCTTCATTCAATAATTTCTAATCGGATAAATGTTAGTACATTATTTTTATTCTTCGATCTGAGATCACTAACATCTTGTGTTTTTTTACAGACCACTCCTGTTCTCTTTGAAGTACATTGTTAATCCGTCACTAAACGTTGGCAAACAGATCACACAACACAATAGTTTTTAGGGCGTTTATTCATTTATTAATTCACAAGTTGACATTTGATTAATCCTTTGATCTACGGCTGATGAGAACATTGTTCTTTTCACTTTTTATCTTCTTCAAATATACCAACTGACTTCATTCGAAAAGCAAAAGATGAAAGTAGCAACATTGATTC